CAAAGTTATTATTAGTGGTTAATTAATAAAATATATTATTCACAATATTTAATTAATACATACAAAATTAATTAATAAAATAAATTTAATTGTTGAGAATTAATAAAAAGAAAAAAGAAAGAAAATATTCTAATAAATATTTCTTTTGGTGTAATGGGTTGTAAATACAATAGTAAAATAGTGTAAAAATTGCATTAATATTATGTTTATAGTTAGAGATGGTCTAATGGTCCCATCTAACCATTCGTAATGAAATTTGTTCTCCCAACTTCAGATCTTTTCCACTTCACTCTATTTAACAATTGGAAGCCATGAAACATTCTCATACACCAAAGAGTCAAATTTAACTTCATTAATTTTTTTTTTTTTTTTTTTATGATCGGGAACGTCTGAACCAGCTTTGCAATATTGCAGATTTTAGTCTCTAATTGTATGAACATGTTTTAAGATTAAAAATTGAGTCTGTTTTAAGTGGATTGATTTGGGTTAATTACCCACTAATAGGCCAAGTACCATCATTAAAAAAAAAAAAAGACAAAGCTCAGGGACGAAATTGTTATTATCCCATTGATACCAAATAAAGCCTTGGGGCATTGAGCTCTAAAAGGAGGTGAGTTAACGACATGTTCCCACCAAAAAAAGTTCCATTGACACTTTCGCACCCTCTTACTACCTAATTAATATGTTTCCCTCTGATTTGGGTGGGAAATATAGTGATTTACGAAAAAGCCCTCTTCTTAGCCTCTTCCCTTGCCGACAATTGTCGCCGACGACCAGAAAATATTGTAAATAAACATTCATCAATTGTCTTTCAACCCAACAAACACAAAAATCGAATGAATCAATCTCAATTAATCCAATTAAAACTCGAAATACCCTAGGGTGGGGGAGCTTCAATCGCCAACAATTGGTGAGCAAACGGTATCTAGGATGTTGGGGCTTTTGGAGAGGAAGATCCAAGGAATCGATTGGTGGTGGTTAGGATGATTTTTGACACCGGAAATGATCAGAAATCGGATTGGAAGTCAAAAGGTCACGTGTTGTACAACCGGCCATCGACGAGCAAGGGACGATGATGGAGGTAAAGGTTTTGTAGAGTGGGTTGTGGGGAGTGTGATGGTGGTGTCTGGGGGAATTTATGGCAAAGAAATCGACCGGAAAATAGAGGCGATGCGTTTTGTAAAGTTGGCCATGCGAATGGAGGTTGTGGTGGGAAATGGTGAGTGATGACGGTAAATGGAGGCTTGAGCTTTGTAGAGGAGGTGATGGAGATTTTGTGGGTGGTCTCAAAAGTGATTTTGAACGCTGGGATTGGCTGAAAAATGGCAAAAATTGTTGATTGTGACACCGCTAACATGCGTCATCTCTTGCTAACGTGCGTCGTTCTTCTTCTTTGACAGTTAATGTTTGTTGACCATTATACCCTCATTAATAATGGATTTTTGACTATTTTGCCTTTCTTGAAAACAAAGATTACTAGCAAAATTATGTTTTGAGTACTGAAATGGTATTTAAAAAGTGGGTGGGTATGAATTCAATAGGCTATTTTTTGGGTGGTAACATGTTATCTCAAAGGAGGTTTGTCGAAAATAAAACACGTGGGGTGGGACCTAAAATCTTAGGGGAGTTGCAGACTTGCAGTTGCACGTGCTTCTTCTAAAAATCAACAAACTTTCAGCTCCGGTGGTAGAAACTCTATCATGCATCCGACGCATGTGATCACTACAAACTGAATTATTATTTATCCATATTTGGGATATTCTATTAATTTTGAAAATTAATCAAAAGATAAGAGCAATAACATCATTCTCTTTAAAGAGTGGTTGTACCTTGAACGGCACATAAGAATATGTATACATATTATTGGCACGTGTTTAAATCTTATTTATGATTAATTTTTTTTTTTAATTTTTATTGTTATGAATATAGTTGAGGTGTGCTTTCATTTTGTTTTTATAAAGAAACAAATAAAAATAAATAATTTGGAGTCATTTTAGATGAAAGCATTATGAATGATGGTTGGACCAGGACCACCCAATCAGCATGTCATGTCGCAATCTGAACGTGTCTAAAATGTGTTTTAGGAATAATATTGTTAAATAGAGATAGAAATTAGATTTAGTTGTCTCAATTCATACGTTGTCTGCAGAAAGAATCATTGAATCAATTAATAAAAGAAAAAAAGATTGATGAAAAGTTATATATCAAGTCAACAACTTTTTTAAAAAGTTAAGAATTTTATTATTTTGATAAAAAGTTATAAAAGATATATGAAAATTATCAAGTGTCAATCTGGGTGGACCGAAGGTAAAAAAACAAAAGAACATTTAACATGGTTTCTCAAGTTCGTGTCTTTTTTATGATAAAAAGCAAGATGAAGATCTAACGTGGTCTTCTGAGTGTGAGTTTCCACTACCCCTAATAAAGGTAGTCATTGAAGCTATTACTCCACCGGTAGTTTCAAGGTCTCAGAGGATTAGTTGAGGTGTGCACAAAACTTATAACATGGCCCAATAGAAAATGAATGTAGTGCAAAACTCTTACATCGTTGGTATTTCTAGGGTCCTGGGGGATGAATTCAAGTCCCTATGACTCCTAATAGGGGTGACTGCTGGAACTCTTACCCGATTTATAATTCTAGGGTCTTGGGAGACTAGTTGAGGTGCGCGCATGACTTGTAACATGACCCAATAGAAAATAAATGTAGTGCAAACCATCCATCGGAGCTTTAACCCGATCGACCGATGGTTCCAGAGTCCTGAAAAACTAGTTGAGATGTGTGCAAGGGTAAACTAAACTTGTTAAATGGCCCAATAGAAAATGAATGTAGTGCAAACTATTAATTAAAACTATAAAGACTTGGGATAAGACATATATATATATATATATACTTAACAAGTGATTAGATTATTAGATATCAATCCCACATCAAAAAATTGATTCGAAAAATAAGCAAGTGAAAGAATCTAGATCTGGAAACTTGTAATTTCATTCTAAAGCACATGCAACAGTCAAATATAATAAGAAAAAATCAGGACAAGAAAAGAAACGAGACTGAGGATAAGATCTGAGAGGTCTTGGTAGTTTCTGATTGTTGATGATTCACATGGTCCCTGCCCGCCTGCTGTTTGGCTGTTTCTCTTTTGTTTTGTTGCTTTTCCACCAGTCTACGTCGGCAGAACAAAGCAAAATTTTCATTAATGCATGTCCAACTGACACCCCATTGTCACATTATTGTGTGTAGGAGTTTCACGCAATCTCCCAATCAATATATGAAGTGGGTTTGTTGTGTGATAACAATGAAATGGGGTCGAAGGTCCGCCCGTGATTAACAGAGAAGAGAAGAAATAATTCATTTGATTGTGTAGAAAGATCCTCTCCGCTACTAAATCTCACTTCACATGGCTATACTGACAGTTGAGCAGTTTAGTTGAAGACAACGTCGTAGGCATTAGCCATTGTTGTTGCATTTTAGTCAACCTTGAAATATATAGGACCACACTCAACGTTTGAATTCACTTTACACTAAAATAAATGAAGTCTGTATGTCCAGTCCTACTATATCTTCCCCTATTTTCATCTTAGGGCATCTCCAATATTGGACGCCAAATTGGTGTCCAAATTTTGCTTATTACTATTCATCTACGCCAATTTGGTGTGATATTGTTCATCCACGCAAAAACATTTTTTATTTTTTTATTTTTATTATTTATTTATAGTGGGAAAATTCAAGGTAATGATTATGAAAGCTACAAGTGAGTAGGTGTCGTGCAAATCTTTTTTTTTTTGCGTCCCATTGATCACCTGCTCGAGGGATTTCCTCGATTAAAGCAGGACTTTGACACGTGGGTGATCTTTAGCCGCTTGCTGACCTGACACTCACCTGCTGCACTGATAGGAGTCATGCCACCTGCGCTAGGCGCGACGTGACTGCACTTGGATGGCGTATAATCCTTCTGAACTCTGACCATCCTTTACTGACGAGGCTCTACGTAAGCCCTACTTTTTTCGGTATAACAAACTTCGATAACTCTTTTTTTTTTTTTTAATTTTTTGTGGTATTTTATATTAGATGTAATGTTTTTTAAAAAAAAAAAATTAAATGTGATGTTTACTTGATTTAATAAATGTTTAATTTTATTAAATTAATATAATTTTTAAAGTTATTATTAGTGGTTAATTAATAAAATATATTATTCACAATATTTAATCAATACATACAAAATTAATTAATGAAATAAATTTAATTATTGAGAATTAATAAAAAAGAAAAAAGAAAGAAAATATTCTAAGAAATATTCCTTTTGGTATAATGGGTTGTAAATGCAATAATAAAGTAATGTAGAAGTTACACTAATTTGATTTTTATGGTTATAGATGGTCTAGTGGTCCCATCTGACCATTCGTAATGAAATTTGTTCTCCCAACTTCAATCTTTTCCACTTCACTTTATTTAACAATTGGAAACCATGAAACATTCTCATACACCAAAGAGTCAAATTTAACTTCATTAATTTTTTTTTTTTTTTTATGATCGGGAACGTCTGAACCAGCTTTGCAATATTGCAGATTTTAGTCTCTAATTGTATGAACATGTTTTAAGATTAAAAATTGAGTCTGTTTTAAGTGGATTGATTTGGGTTAATTACCCACTAATAGGCCAAGTACCATCGAGCATGCTAACATTTTCATTTATCAAGATCCCATTACAAATCATCTCATATTTTATATATATATATATATATATAATATAAACAAGAAAATGATGCTTCTAAAAATTATGACAAGCAAAAGTATATGTTTTGAATAAGAAAGTTGTTCAATCTTACAAATTGGCCACCGTCTTTCTGGGCTGGGTTTTGTCAATGTAGTAGTCATAAGGCCTAAAAGCTCACTCAGACCGCTGTAAGACACATACACAGTTTACAACTCAACACTACAGATCAGCTTATTTTTCTTGCTTTCTAGAGCTTGTTTGGAGACTTGAAACACAGAGTTGCTATAAATATAGCCTTATTTTGTTTCTAATTTCTCATCTGCTTATTGCTATATACAATGCAATGCATCAATTACAAAATGTTCTCAAAACTCCTTCAACTAGCACAATCTGATAACATTAAAACTGTCTCAATTCTCATCTTGCGTTCACTTGAGGATCTAATCCATCTTCAGAAATATCGAAAAACAAGTCATCACTCTTACACAATGCATACACGATATCCACCATACTCGGCCGCTTGGAAGGATCTCTATGCACACAAGCAATGGCGATATCTGTTACACTCATCAGACTCTCCATTGAGCATGTGTCCTGCAAAAATACCACATCCATCCATTCTTTCATTCTTTTCACCTTGCTCTCCTCATTCCCCTCCAAAATTCCACCAACACTTGTCCACAATGCCCTCCCCTCGTCATCAACTGCCTCCTTGCCTGATAGAAGCTCAAGCAGCACCACCCCGAAAGAGAAAACATCCATTTTTGTCGATACTACCCCATCTGTTAGATACTCGGGCGCCATATAGCCTTGAGTTCCAACAATGTGCATAGTTATGGCATTGCAGCCTGATTTGGCTAGTCCAAAGTTTGCAATTTTAGCCCTCATGTTTGAGTCCAAGAGAACATTGCTACTTTTGATGTCTTTATGTACAACTCTTGGCCTGGTATGCTCATGAATGTATTGCAGGCCATTGGCAACATCAACGGCAATCCTTAACCTTGTTTTCCAGTTCAACTTTTTGTTTTTGTTTTCGTGTAGCCATGAATGGAGAGAGCCATTTTCAACGTACTCATAGATCAAATAGCAATTTGCATCTTCAGGGTCTATGCAGAAACCTTCTAGCTTCACCAGATTCCCATGATTTACCTTCAAAATGAATGATTGTGGTTCAGTAATTACTAATTACTAGCAAACTAAAATGAAGGTCAAAGGCAAGGAGATAGGCCTAATCCTCTTTACTAATTATAAATAACTTGCCTCCTTTGCTGTAGCTATCAAGATCTAAATCTTTCTGGCCAACATGTGCAGGGTGGAACAAATTCAGTTCATTTGTCATTGTCAATCTTCTTTAAGCTAAACTAACTTATTATAACAATTATTTTGATTAAAAACAATCGAAAAAAACAATCATATACTCGAACTAATAGAACAATTTCATTCTAATGGGTAATCAAAAGGCTTATTTTTTAATAGAGAGAATCATGAATAAGTTAAACCTTCTGACTAGTAAAGCATATGATTTAAAACCTCAAACCTAATACTCAAGACAGGTCACTATACCTAACCATTATTTTATAATCAGTAAAAACGATTAAATGTTGGCCACCACATTTAAGCAATTTTTATAATGGGATTCTTCCACTGGTGTCTTTATCTCTGATGGAATGTTCAGATTTTTCAGCCACGTAATTCTGTTTATTACGTTATATCCCCATGTTTTCAGGATTTTATTCCTCTACCTCCTCCCTGGACCCTGACTACACCGTATTGTATGGTCTAATTGCATCCAGTGAACTTCCGGAAATAATTGTTTTGTTCTCATTTTTCACTACTTACTCTGGAACTATACTTAAACTGAGAACTTGCAATCAATACAGAGAATTAAAATAGTGTTTCCTGGTCTACTCTGCCATGCCAAAAAACTATTATCTTTTTGGGAATCTGAAACATTAAAGGCTATACTGTTTTTGAAAAAAGAAAAAAAAATTACCTTTTGTAAGATCTTCAACTCCTCACAGGCATTCCATTTCATCATCTTGATTGCATAGACCTCTCCATTAATGAACCCTTTGTAAACAGACCCTTGAATCAAGCAATCCTCACTGAAATCATTTGTAGCTTCTCTGAGTTCTTCAATGTTGAACAATTTGTACTTGTCCAAGCAATCTGAAACATCTGCCATTAAATTAACTTCCATATTCTTGAAGCCCTTCCCTCCCTTATCAAACTGTAGCTTCTGCTTCTCAGCATCATCAGACTTCCTCTTTCTCCTCTTCTTCAAAATAACCTCACTATATATCAACATCCCAGTAACCAAAACCAACAAGACTCCACAAATAGCCAACCCAATTGCCAATCCTGTATTAACTCCTTTTCTCTCAGTCTTTCCAGCTCCAGGAGATGCCGGAGTAACAGCATCAGGCTGTGTTAGTTGTGGGAGTTGTGGAAGTCTCGCGACTGGGACAAATATAGTTTCAAATGTCTGACTGTTATTCCCATTAACATCTATTATAGACTGTGTTTCTATTCCAAACATTGAAGCAACTGATGATAAGTTGTCAGAAGGTTGAAGCACATAAGACACAAGATAACTCACTTGATTTTGCAATTGAGTTTCATTAGGACACTTGCAAAAGATTGGAAATTGAACAACATCACCAGCTTCAAGTTCAGTAGGGACTACAGTAGGATTCACAATCATAACAGATTGATAAGTTGTCAAATTCAGGTACAGGTATGTGGATACAAGGTAAAAAGTGTCACCCTGCACGATTGTGTATGACAGATTGGCAAAAGAGATGCTATAGCTGGTATTTAAAGTATTACAAGAGCAGGTTAAAGGGACAAAAAGAGGCTGGTTTTGTATGAGAGGAGACGATGGGGAGGATATATTGCTAGGGTTTGATATCATGAGGCGGCTCACTGAAAAAAGGTCACCTATTGAGGCAAGGTCTAGTAAATTAGGTGCCGAGGCTCGATAACTAGGTGCCGAGGCTCGATAGAAAGCATAAGTTTGGCATTGATTGGTGGTCTGATTGGGACTGCAAGTGTAGCCTGTGGTGTTTGGTAGGAACTCTTGTGATTGAACATAACAAAGAAAGAAGAGCAACAGAAAAGAGGAAGAGAGATACCGGAGTTTGATTCTCATTTTGGTTTCAGCTATCTGTTTCTCTTCCCTGCTCTTGAATGTATTTAGAACAGATTTATATAAAGTTACAGACAGGAAGATGAATCTGGTTCTCGCTTTCAGTCTTCGTCAATACATATTTTAATCAAGACGCCAATGCTTATCCCTGCTTCTCATTCAACGTATTGGGTCCTACAATCTTAAATTAAATTAAAACTCAACTGCTTCAGTCAACTTGATTGGAGGACGGGTAAATCCACCACTACCATCTCCTGCTTTTCTAATTTTTTTTTTTTTTTTTTTTTTTAAGTTTTCCCACAAGTCCACAACCAAAAGAAATATTTACGGAAAGCTTGGTCGTCGTAACTTTTGGATTCATTTGATCAATGCATAGAATGGGAATCTTTGCTAACACAAGCAGCAGAAATTTGAAGTTTCTGTTAAATAAGTGTAACGACCTTCAAGCAAGCCACATTGGTTATACTGTATATACAAGTTGGGTCACTTGATGACCTAATAATCCTTCATTGCAGCAGCCAGGAGGGTAACTGTGAGTTTATCAGCTTAAGGGTGATTTCTGAGTCTGCCGAAATCCATGGCATCTATTTAGTACATTGTATTGAGAGCTGTGAAAAAACATTTCATAATCCTTGATTTCTTACTGTGACTCTGACTTTTCATGCACTTATGTTGAACATTAAAGGCAAATAAGTTCCATGTCGCGTGGGACAAGTTCCTTGAATTCCAGTACCAGCTATTTTTTTTAATTTCCTCATTTGACAACTGCTACATGATTCCTTCATACAGCCCTTTGAACAAGTAAATATTCATTGGTAAAACTACTGCAAATAAGAAAGTTTGATAACAGTACACATCTGGCCCAACTTCTATATCCAATAATGATGTCATTCTTAGACTTTACCTGAGTGTTGTCAGTTTCAGATTATCTAATCAAAACGGATTTTTTCTTTTGGAAAATTATTCAGCAAGTAAGACTGGTTATATAAGACTGTAATTATTATTATTTATATTTTTGATGTTTCATGTTTGATTTTGGCCAAAGACCAAGAAAGGTATCAATATGCTATCCTGATAATAGCCAAGAAAATTAGCAGCCATGGCACATGAAAGCACAGAAAACAACAAACATAAAATGGGACAAAAATATGGACTCTACTTTCCATCCTAATGTTGCCTATAAACTAAGCAATTACAACTCTTTTTCCAAGACAAAAAATATCCTTTTGTTCTTCCATCCATTTTTACAGTTAAAGCCCTGAGGTGTCCCTCTTTCTCGCTAAATTCCCTCATCTCATGGTATTGTAGTTCTCGGTTAACTTGTCACGACTCATGTGCTCTGCTTTCTCATTTAGTCTTGAATGGTTCCGGCAGAAAGTCAGTTTGGACACTCTCTTCTCTTGGGAAGATGCCTCTGTTTTTCATCTTCTTCTCAGTCATGGGATTTCGGTTCTACCACTTTGTAGACCTTGACTTTGTCTTTTTGAGTCAACTTGATTGAAGGACGGGTAAAGTAAATCCACCACAACCTGCCCCTGGTTTCTAAACCTTTATTACTATTTTATTTTCTCCACCTCAAAAAGATAAGATAATTAAGCTTTATTTCTAATTCTTTTCTTATACAGTCAACCCCACAACCTCAATTGCATTCATATTATATACTGTTTGGTTGATGAGAAATTTACCATACCACCAAGATTTGTATATTGATTTTACAAATTGGCTTGCCTATGACCAAATCCTCATTGCAGGAGGGCAAGTGTGAGCTTAAAGGTGATCCAAGGTTGCTGAAACTCATTGTCCCTACTAAAATATTAACGGGTGGGTTTGGTTTATTGTTTTTATCCATATTCTCAATCCTATTCTTCAAATATTGTTTGACACATTATTCCCAAAATATTAGTCTATTTTTTTTAATTATTTTTAGACTCCATAAGTTTATTAATCTCATTAAATACCCCCCCAAAAAAGGTTTAAAAACTAACAGAAACAAACCCACCCACAACACTTACCAGATTCCCTCAACCACTGTCGGTAGTAGCCGAAATCTGTTACAACAGTCACACGACCACCGATAATGGTCAGATCTGACAATCAGTGACGGCCAAAAAAATGGCCGGCGTTGACTATCAACGACGGTCATATCGCTGACGATTAAAGTTGGTCTTTTTTGGTCGTCGAAGGCCGCATCTGGCCTTAGATCTGACATTTTCCGATCAAATCTGTGGTGGATATGGCCGGAAAAGGCCATATCGATCGAATACCTGTCAGATCCGATCAGATTTTGTGGTTTTCCAATTTTTTGGTCAGATTTCGACGGTGGTGGCCAGAGTTTGACACTTTGGGTGTTAGGAGTGTTTTTGTCATTTTACAATATTTTAATATATTAGGGTGTTTATTAAATTAGCAAATCTTGGGGGTTTTTTCATAAATTTTTAAATTTTATCTCGTAATACTTTCCTATTCAATCATCTAATATTATCTCTAAAATCTTACCCAAAATAATAAACCAAACGCACCCAAGACTTTCCTGCATTAATGTTGAATACAGAGGCAAGAGGGTCCTTTGAATTGTCAGCAACAAAAAATCTAGATGCTTCGTCAATAAAGGCAACAACAAATTTCATCATTACCTCACAATCACGTCATAAATACGTTAACATTTAGTCATCCAGTTTTGAACAATCAAATCTCATTAAAGTTATGCATTTACAAAACTTAATATGTATATACTAAGAAAGAGGCATGGTCAACAACACGTGTCCTACTGGCTACTTCTACATATCTATGTGGAAAAACTTAGGAAGATCCAAGTGATGTAACCATTTTCATGCTCAGAAACTTTGTATCCTATCCAGTGAAAGTTCATAGAAGTTGTGTATATAGAGTTANGAGTCAACTTGATTGAAGGACGGGTAAAGTAAATCCACCACAACCTGCCCCTGATTTCTAAACCTTTATTACTATTTTATTTTCTCCACCTCAAAAAGATAAGATAATTAAGCTTTATTTCTAGTTCTTTTCTTATACAGTCAACCCCACAACCTCAATTGCATTCATATTATATACTGTTTGGTTGATGAGAAATTTACCAGACCACCAAGATTTGTATATTGATTTTACAAATTGGCTTGCCTATGACCAAATCCTCATTGCAGGAGGGCAAGTGTGAGCTTAAAGGTGATCTAAGGCTGCTGAAACTCATTGTCCCTACTAAAATATTAAGACTTTCCTGCATTAATGTTGAATACAGAGGCAAGAGGGTCCTTTGAATTGTCAGCAACAAAAAATCTAGATGCTTTGTCAATAAAGGCAACAACAAATTTCATCATTACCTCACAATCACATCATAAATACGTTAACATTCAGTCATCCAGTTTTTAACAATCAAATCTAATTAAAGTTATGCCTTTACAAAACTAAATATGTATATACCAAGAAAGAGGCATGGTCAACAATACATGTGTCCTACTGGCTACTCTACATATCTATGTGGAAAAACTTAGGAAGATCCAAGAGATGTAACCATTTTCATGCTCAGAAACTTTGTAACCTATCCTGTGAAAGTTGATAGAAGTTATGTGTATAGAGTTAGGGGTATATGTGTAAATGTAAGGTAATGAAAATATATATAGGGTGTAATATTATTTTATTTGATTATTGAATAAACTACAGTAGAATATTTTATCACATGGTATTAGAGCACTGGTCTTAGGGTTTTGTTCTGGTGGCCGATGGCACTGTTCACACGATACTGTTCGGGAGACACTGTTCACGGTTGTTACTTTTTCCAGCGACTAAGTCTGTCGCGTCTCCTGTTGCTAAGATGACCTCTGTTCAGTTATTTATTTCTCTTGCAGCTTCCTATGGTTGGCCCCTTCACCAACTTGATGTCAAAAATGTCTTTCTTCATGGTGATCTTCTTGAGGAGGTTTACATGGAGCAACCACCAGGGTTTGTTGCTCAAGGGCAGTTTGGAAAGGTATGCAAACTGAGGAAATCTTTATATGGTTTGAAACAATATTCACGTGCTTGGTTTTGGGAGATTTAGTGATGTAGTGACTGAATTTGGTTTGCACAAAAGTGCTTATGATCATTATGTCTTCTATAGGCAATCTAGTTCTGGTATTCTCCTCATTGTTGTTTATGTTGATGACACTGTAATCACTGGTAGTGATAGTGTTGGTATTCATAGTTTGAAAATCTTTTTGACTTCCAAATTTCACATGAAAGACTTAGGCTCTTTAAAGTATTTTCTAAGAGTTGAGGTTTCTCGAAGTAGGAGAGAATTGTCTTGTCTCAACACAAGTATGATTTATTGATTAAAACAGGTCTAATTGGAGCCAAGCCTTGTGATACTCCTATGATTCTTAACGTAAAATTGAATGTTGAGGATGGAGAGGTGTTTGATGATCCAGAGCAATAAAGACGAATAGTTGGAAATTTGAATTATCTTACAGTAACTCGTCTAGATATTGCTTTCTCAGTGAGTGTGGTAAGCCAATTTATGTCATCTCCTAGGACACCTCATTGGGATGCGGTTCTTCATATTTTGAAATATCTCAAAAGGGCTCCTGGACGTGGGATCCTTTATAGTAATAATGGTCACAGTAAAATACAAGGATTTTCAGATGCAAATTGGACATGATCATTTGTAGACAGGCGTTCTGTGACTGGAATTTGTGCTTTTGTTGGAGGAAATCTTATTTCTTGGAAAAGTAAGAAACAACTTGTTATAGCTAGATCAAGTGCAAAATCTGAGTACCGAGCTATGACACAAGTAACTTATGAGCTTATATGGATGAGATATCTCCTTATAGAAGTTGGAATTGGTGATCCAGGGATTATGAACTTGTGGTGTGATAACCAAGCAGTCATACATATAGCCAACAATCTAGTTTTTCATGAGCAGACAAAGCATATAGAAGTCGATTATCATTTTGTGCGAGAGAAACTTGAACAGAAATTAATTTCCACTAAGCATGTTAAAACAGGAGAACAACTAGCTGATTTCTTTACTAAATCTTTAGTTGGAAAAAGGGTAATCTATGTTTGTAACAAGTTGGGCATGATAGATATATATATTCCAGCTTGAGGAAGAGTGATAGAAGTTATGTGTATAGAATTAGGGGTATATATGTAAATGTAAGGTAGTGAAAATATATATAGGATATAATATTATTTTATTTAATTATTGAATAAACTACAGTAGAATATTTTATCACAAAAGTTATGCAAGCTTCAGATTATCCAATCAAAATGACCTTTGACCTTAACAAATTTTTTTGGCAAGCCTCTGGTTTGACACTTGTTATTAGCCTGCAGCAATATTATATCTTAAACTTAATCGGCATTGACACCATGATCCATGAGTTACTTGTTTGCTTAATAGTCTCTAAAATGACAAGATATTTCTAAAATGAGATGTAGAGATAGGTGTGAAGATGCTATTCTGAACATCATATTTCTTAAGAGTTTCATTGCCATGGCACTTGAACTTTATAGAACGTATACAAAACAAAACAGCTCATATACAGAAGCAAAATGAAAATGAGAGGAAAATATGAACTATACCTTGCATTCTAATTTTGCTTATAAAGTAACAATTACAATCCCTATTCATCAGAGGAAATTATCTCTTTGTTGTTTCTTCCACCTTCACTGTGAAATCCCAGAGGTGTCCATATTTCTCATTGAATTCCCAGATGCTCATGGTATTGTAGTCATTGATTAACTTGTCACGAGCTCCCCTTTCCATATTGTATATCTCGGGCTCAAAGTTGTGGGGTTTGTCCGGCTTATCTAACTCAAATATGGTGAAAATTGTAACAAAAACAGCTGCTCCAATGAACAAGTACTCCCCCTAAAAGATCACAAATGAGAGGAGTTTCTCAATTAAAGATGAAACATATAGGTGGTTATTCTCAGTTCTTAAAATCATTAACTGGAGACTCAATAATGAATACTTTCATAGGTTTAAATCTAGATTTAGAGTTACCGGAACATTGAAATACATTCCTGCAGCAACTGCAGGGAGGAAAGCCCATGATATAAATCCTGAAAAACAATAAAAGAGAATTCAATTACTTAAAAATGACAGTGCCTTTAATTTAAGTTCCATGTTATCAAAGGTCTGCAACAGCTATTGATACCTTGAAAGCCTGATGGCGGTTCTGTGGCCCTGACATCGTCGGCAATTGCTCCCCAAAATGATCCTATATATAAAATTTTCAGCAATATTAATAAAATGGTGAAGATTTGATAGTCTCATAACAAAAGGTTCATAAAACATATTCAATTCTTCCTCGAGAAAAAAAAAAAAAAAAAAAATCAACTTTACACCCAGATAAAATTAATCCCTTAAGTTTGATAGACATGAAATTTCAAGAAGAAAAAGAATCATTCACCAAACGCTTATACAACATTCAAGTTCAGAACCCTCTAATTGCAATTACATGTTTATCAACCCAACAGAAAAATAGTTAACAAATGGAATGAAGCCCTTATAGATTAATCAAAAAAGTAAACTTGAGACCTCTCTCGTCGGTTTCGAAGTAAGTATGGTGCCCATCATACTCTCCATATTTAAAATCTTCCTGCACTCAACAACACACATTAAAGCATCAAAACCATTATTTTTAACATCTACTTAAGCATACATGATACAGTAAAAATCTCAATAACATGTATTCATGCAATTTTCACTTCACTTATATATAAAGTTTGAATGAAACGAGTTTACAGCATAATCCATGCATAGAGAGAGTGTTAAGAAGATATACAGGGCTAACACCGAATGTGGCCCAACGGTCAACTGGATCTTCGTTGAGATCTGGCTCGATGAGATTCAGCTTCCCACCTGCATTCAACTTTGTGAGCCCACTTCGACCACTAGATTTTCCGTACAATCCGACATTATAAGAAGCTTTGTTTAGTTTGAGATTGATGTCAGAGTTCTTAGAACTGGTTTTGGGAACTGAATTGACAGAGAAAACAGAGAGTGATGAAGATGAACAAACTGCCATCTCTCTTCTATCATCTTCTTTTTAGCTCCATGTTTTATAGCCTTTAATTGCCCGCCTCACTTAACGGTAAGATAAAGTTCCCGTGATGGTTGTCTCATAAGATGTAATGCAATGTATACGTGGCATCCGATTAGTGGACGTTCTTGTTTACTTTCGTGACAGCCAGTGAGTCGATTGTCAGTCTTTTGTACATTGGAGTTTTGGGCTCCTCCTCTAGTCCGCCTTATCCACTTTGGAGTTATTACTTCTTTCCTCTCAAAATAAATTAAAAAAAATCTTTAAATAATTGATAGATTTTTTTTGTCACGAGGTTTTAGGATTGGTTTACACGTATCTCAAATAATCTTCGAACTTTAGAATTAGCTCGTGCTTGAAACTATCGACTAATTAAGAAGCTTAGGTGATTGATATTAGGTCTTTGTCTTTTTCATCTATCGGTGATTGATAGATAGGTTTTTGTCTTTTTTTTATTTATTTATCATTTATTCTCAAATTGTATAAAATTGATTTGAATATTAAGGTCATGTTCCCTCTGCGTCCCGTGTGAAGTTAGGCAATACAAATACAAAATCTAAAATCAATTGAAATTTATAAATAATTTTGATATCTAAAAAATTATGAAATTTGGTTTTGGAAAATTTCAACAAAACACATGCCTGTAATGGGTAGAATCTTATTATTAAACGACATTATCACTAACTCATGTTGCTTCAACGTGCTTTCCTCTCGAATCTCTCTGCCCTTTTTATCTCATCATCCTCANAATACAAATACAAAATCTAAAATCAATTGAAATTTATAAATAATTTTGATATCTAAAAAATTATGAAATTTGGTTTTGGAAAATTTCAACAAAACACATGCCTGTAATGGGTAGAATCTTATTATTAAACGACATTATCACTAACTCATGTTGCTTCAACGTGCTTTCCTCTCGAATCTCTCTGCCCTTTTTATCTCATCATCCTCATTCTCACTCTCACACTCACACTCTTGGTCCAAGTCTCCTCACTGTCCGCACTTCCGTTTCTATCTCAGCGTAAGTTCTGTCAACTACTAGTTTCAGTTTGGTTTTTCTTTAGTTCCTTAATCAATTGATATGTATGGATGGTTGGATTAAATTTATACTTTGTGAATTCCACTTCACTAATTTCTGCATTTATTCTATTCCATGTCTTGATCAGTTTTATCACTTTTTGAATTGGATGATTTCTGTGTTATTTAACACTCGTATGTTGAAGGTTCCTTGCTGAATCATTGGTATTAGTTTTGTTAAATATTTTAATTTTTTTTTAACTAAATTTGTATTTGGTTTCGTCTCAAGTGTTGAAAGTAAATGTACTAAAGTCCAAGAAAACTCTGGATTCTTGATACAAGAAGTGATAATTATATCATTTACTTTTAGCGATTTTGTTGATAGAATAGAATATTGCGGCAAACATATTATTGTCATAAATCGAGTTAATTAACTTCGGGGTTGCTATGACTTATTACTGTCACTGACTGTTGCGGAGGCTTTTTCTTATGTTTAATACATATTAACTGAAAATAACTTAGGTTGGTTAATTTGATTAGTTGAAATTCTAATTGTTGTTTCAGTAATTATCGATGTAACTAGTTGGTTGTCTATGTTTTCCTTGTTTTATAAGTGCAGGCAACACCTATCATTTCTGATGTTCTTGGTTTTACTTTTTATACCACCTCTAGCAGTTGCAACTTCTTTTCTCTATTTCTTTCTTTATTTTTGGAATATTCATTTGCTTCATCAAGGTATTCAAAGAATTTCTTATTTTAAATTCAGAAATAATTAATTAATTACTCAACGGTTATTTTTGCAGATTTTTTTTTTTTTTTTTTTTTTTTAAATGTTTTGACTCCCAAATTCTATCAGGTTCCTAGAACTTATTAATATGTCTTCACATTCACATGTATATTTGTTGTTGTAAATAGAAGTAAACTATGATATTTTCTTTTATAACTGAGCACACTAATGCACACATAAAAGTTGCTTCATTATGAATTGTTTATATGCACCAAACCATGAAATGGTTATATATACCATGCAATTTATATAATTCAGATTTAGAAATTGTCATACTTTTGTGGGAGAAGGAAAGCGTAAGATTTGGGAGAATGTAATTGTTACATGTGTTTCAGTCCCTGAATCCAATGTTTTATTTGAGGCCAATCTACTGATTATTACTTGAATGGTTGTATTGCACCTTCAATTTTGTGGACTAATTGTGTTTCGCCTAATACAGAAATGTGTTCCCGTTCTCAAAATTCTTACCTGGTTGACTGTTAGTTATTTATGATTGTATTTTTCGTTAAATATGTAGTAAACAACTGTCCACATCTCTAGCCATGGATAGTTCTAAGGCTGACACCCCTAAGGAAATTCCCTCGGGGTTAGACTCATCCACTGAAGAAGAATATGCTTCCCAATCCAAGTTGCTTCAAGAGTTTGTTAATATCTCTACCATTGACAAGGCGTGGACTTTTAAGTCGGGCAATGGTATGACTAGCAATGTTTGCAACTTTTTGCCCTACTTCATTCCTTCATAATGCCCATGGTTCACAATAATTTTTGGTTTTAAATCGTTGTTGCAGGAATAGGCACACAGGCAATTTTTTCAATTAGCCAACCAAATCTTTTGGCTAACAAGAAGAGGAAGTTTATGCTATCTACTGCTATTTCAAAGGAAAATAGTAATTCTGTAAACTTTCAATGGGCCCCATTTCCTGTTGAGATGACAGGTGCATCTACAATTGTTCCATCACCTTCAGGTTCAAAGCTTCTTGTAGTAAGGAATCCAGAAAATGAATCTCCTACTCATCTTGAAATCTGGAGTCAATCTCAGTTGGAAAAGGAATTCCAAATCCCTCAAACTGTGCATGGCTCTGTATACGTTGATGGATGGTAACTAATTAACTGACTATCATTCTTCTTGTGATTAGTCTTTAGTATGCTGAGTTAATCTAAAATATAATTGCCTCTTTGCATGTGTGTTTAGCTGTAGTACTGTTCAATTTTATAAGTAGTTATACTGGTAGTGGCTGTGTTTGTGCTAGCAGAAGAGTTTTTATCCATATTATCTTACCAGTCCCAGAAAAATTGAAAGCTTCCTTGATGATACAGGTTTGAGGGAATATCTTGGAACTCTGATGAAACTCTTATTGCTTATGTTGCCGAGGAACCATCTCCTCCAAAGCCAACATTTAGTATGGGCTACCAGAAAGCTGGTTCCTCGGATAAGGATTGTGGTACCTGGAAGGGTCAAGGTGATTGGGAGGAGGATTGGGGAGAAACCTATGCGGGAAAGAGGCAGCCTTCTCTTTTCTTAATCAACTTTGACAGGTCTGCATCTTTGTTTTGTTTATTCTATTGCTATGATTAGTTAAATAGAGTTTATATTCGAATGTTGAAACCTAAAATTAAACTTCCCATTTCTGTGTAGTGGAGAAGTACAAGCTGTAAAAGGAATTCCAAAATCTTTGAGCGTTGGGCAAGTTGTGTGGGCTCCATCAACTGAAGGCTTGTCCCAATTATTGGTTTTTGTTGGGTGGCCATCAGATTCAAGAAAGCTTGGTATAAAATATTGCTACAATAGGGCATGTGCATTATATGCAGTCAGGGCATCACTTTACAAATCAGAAGGCAGTGAGCTCGAACTCAAGTGGGTCACTGGCTTTTTAAATTTCAGTCCTTTTTTTCTTTTTTAAATTATTTTTTGTGTGTGTGTGTGTGCGTGTTGGGGTGGGGGGTGGCCCCGCTGGGTTGGGGGGATGTGGTTGATATCATATAGGAGTTGGATAACTAACTAACTCTGATGTATTGAATAATTTTGAATTTCTATTCATGTTCCAGAGATAGCTCCTGTAAAGATTTTCCTGTGGTTAACTTAACTCAAACCATCAGCAGTGCCTTCTTTCCACGATTCAGGTATTACAATGGTCTTGCATTTTTATTATTGGGTACTGTTTGATTTGACCTGTTAAAAACATTTGTTTGTTTTGATAATTGAGGAATATACAAATTAATTTTATTAAGATTTAGAGAAATTTGCTAGGAATCTGTAGCCATTACAATTAATTTTATACCTTTATTAAAGTAGGGGTTTGGTCAGTAGATCATAGTTGTTTAGTTTGCTTTGAACCTTCTGGTTCTGGTTGAACATACACTATGGTTTTTTTGTTTCTTTTTTCTGTCTTTCCAGTCCAGATGGAAAGGTCCTTGTGTTTTTATCTGCAAAATGTTCTGTGGACTCTGGTGCGCATTGTGCAACAAATTCACTTCACAGAATTGATTGGGCCGCCAATGGAAAGCCGTCTACATCTGATAAAATTATTGATGTGGTGAGTAATCTAGTATTTATAGTTATTTTTCGATATAATCAACTTCATTGACTGATTGAAACCTCATTATTTGTATTCAATACTTTGTTTTCTTGCATGCTTGTGCAAGTTATGAACCTTGATTCTGCTATGAACCTGTGAAATAAGCGCTTACCTACTAGATTACTAACCTTTATGAACACAAGTTATGGAGATAGAGCTAAATATTTTGTTTGCTTAAGTGCTCCACTCTCTTTTGTTTTATTTGGTGATAAATCGGCCAACAGCATACTTAGGTAAATAGTTTTGAAGGATTTGGAACACCTTGATTTCTTCATATACTTATTTATCTATTTATTCTTTTGGTTTCATGATATAGCTGCATTTCACATTGCTTTATTCTATAAAATCTCTGCAGATTCCAGTCGTGCAGTGTGCAAAGGATGATTGCTTCCCAGGGCTTTATTGTTCAGATATCCTAAGTAATCCATGGCTTTCTGATAGATGCACTCTGATTTTATCTTCCACCTGGGGTAGTAGTCAAGTAATAATTTCAGTGAATGTGCTGAGGTAACTTAATGATTTTATAACCTTGTTTGATGAAATCTTTTTGACAAAATCAACTGATGATATGATTATTAAATTACAGTGGAGAGTCATTACGCATTAGCCCCACTAAGTCAAATTTTTCATGGAATGTTCTTACACTAGATGGGGACAATATTATTGCTGGTAACACAGAGATCTGTTCTTTATCCATAGCACATCTTATTTTGAAGCAAAGAAATTGAATTAAATTCTTCTCTTTTGACATTTGCAGTGTCTAGCAGTCCAGTAGACATTCCTCAAATCAAATACGGTTATCTTGTTGAGAGTGCAAATAAGAATGGTGCATGGAATTGGTTAAATGTATCAAGCCCCATCTTTAGATGCTCTGAGAAGGTTATGCATTTTCTTTCATTACATAAGTCAATACAACAAATTAAGATTATATATCAACAGCATCTTTACTTGTGCAGGTTAGATCATTGCTCTCATCCCTGAAATTCAGTATTATGAAAATTCCAGTGAAGGATGTTTCTGCTAACCTAACAGAAGGTATTAAAATGTGATTTTGGTTTAAAGAAACCATAATTTTTGTATTTAAAGTGATGCCTTCATTAAGGCTGTTGGAATATTACTGATGCATTCTGTTGAGAGTGTATGCTTTTGGCTTAATTAGGACTAAAATAGTAATACTGATGTGTCATAGTATTGGATGGATTTATATTCTTATGGTGATAAGAAAGAATAGCGTTGTTTTTCATTAGTTGACGATTGGGAGAATCTAAAAAGAATCAATTGAAAAATGAAATTTAATCTGGGGGTTTTACTGGCAAAGTAGAATTGATCTTGAGTGCTCAGGAGGTTTGGTGAATAATAATAAATCATTTGTTTACTTGATACAAGCAATAGGATATTTCTAAAGTGTCTACACAAGGTTCAGACTCCTGCAAATATTTGATGCCTTAGTTCATGTAGAGTGATGCATTTATTTAATAATCTTTTGGTCTTATACCTGGCAGTATTTGAATTCTGAAATCATATTACTCATGCCAACATGATCTTTGAGGTCCTCTATGTGTTTAATTCATTTCAGGTGCCAAAAAACCGTTTGAAGCTATATTCGTCTCTTCTAATTTTAAGAGAGATAGCGGCTGTGATCCACTAATTGCAGTCCTTCATGGGGGCCCACATTCTGTCTCATTGTCAAGCTTTTCAAAGTCCTTGGCTTTTCTCTCTTCAATTGGTTTCAGCTTGTTGATAATAAATTACAGGCAAGTGAATATTTACCCTTTTAGCTAGGTTAAATTATGAAATTTAAGCTCTATATGTGTGTGTGTGTGTGTGTGTGTGTGTATGTGTGTGTATAACAGAGTATATATCAGGGGAGGACCCAAGAATTAATTTTAGAGGTGGCAAATTAAAAATAATATAATATAAAACAGGAAAAAGTAAATGAGGAGAGTCAAATCTGGAAACATTAATACAAATTCAGGGGGGTTAAAGCAAACAATCAAAATAAATTAATGAAAAATAAAATTTGAGTGGAGTCACCAACCCCCACTCATCATAACTGAAGTCCGCCCAAGTTATATATATATATATATATAGAGAGAGAGAGAGAGAGAGATACACATATATGTAGACATATATATATACATATATCTACATATAAATATACATATATTATATATACTACATATATGTAGAGGTATATATATACATATATACATACATCTCTCTGTCTCTCTCTCTCTCTCTCTATATATATATATATATATATATATGGGGGGACTCAAGTTATGACGAGTGGGGGATGGTGACCCCACTCAAATTTTATTTTTCATTAATTTAGTTTAATTGTTTGCTTTAACCCCCCTGAATTTGTATTCATGTTTCTAGATTTGACATCCCTCATTTACTTTTTTCCTGTTTTATATTATATTTTTTTTAACTTGCCCCCTCTAAAATGAATTCTTGGGTCCGACCCTGGCATACACTTTGTTCTACTAAACCCCAAATCACACAATCCCACTTCGATCACCGAAATTGCTTGACCTTGGAAATAGATTCTTTTTTCTCTCTCTCATGTAACCCCTCTCATGCAAAGAAAAATAAGAAAAGGGGTAGGCATAAATCTTCATTCAAGCTTTTTCTAACATGGTAGTTGATCTCAGAGGGTCACTAGGATTCGGTGAAGAAGCATTGCAATCCCTTCCAGGGAAAGTTGGATCCCAGGTGCTGCTTCTCAATCCAGATTTGTTATGCACACTTTGATTGTTCATTTCCTTCACGAGCAACTAAATTTTCATGAGCAGATTCTTTAGATATTTTAGTATGAGATGTGTCTCCTAATATCTTGGCTTATTACCCACAGGATGTAAATGATGTACTCACTGCTATAGATCATGTTATTGATATGGAACTTGCTAGCTCCTCTAAAATAACTGTGCTTGGCGGCTCCCATGGAGGCTTTCTAACTAGTCACTTGATTGGCCAGGTGTGGTAGTTTTTCATTTGTGATAATACAGATGTGTCCTACTGATCTTTAGGCGTTCTTCAGTAGACTGGATGTTGTGATTTGTTACAACATTTTTATGATTTTGTTATACTTCAAAATCATGAAGATATTTGTTTATAATTTTGTTCAGGCACCAGATAAGTTTGTTGCAGCTGCTTTAAGGAATCCTGTTTGCAATCTTGCACTGATGGTTGGTATAACAGATATCCCTGAATGGTGTTATGTGGAATCTTATGGAAGCAAGGGGAAAGAGAGCTTTACAGACTCACCTTCAGCTGAGCATTTGACTCTCTTTTACAGCAAGTCTCCTATATCACACGTCTCAAAGGTGTGTTTACCAATGTCTTTTACTAGTTTTGGTAGTTGATTCAAGGACGTTTGATTGAAGCACATTAGAATGGAAATGAGATGCCATTCAGTGATCTAATCCAAATAAAACTGAGTGCAAGAAAGCCCTCATCCAAGTGATATTAGAGCATTGGTGATCCACTAAAGAATCCTGCAAGGATTTCCATTTTGGAGAATTGTTACATTATTGTTCAAACTGAATGCAGGGATTAGTGTAGCCAAATGGGCATAATGCCTGTGCATGTTTGATTTGAGTCATTGCTACTGGTTGCTTGGCATGCTTTGGTGATAGCATTTGGAAGCTGTGCTCATGGCATGATCTGAGGCAAAATATCGATAGTAAAGAGTGAAAAAATGTAATTGTCAATATCCAACACTCCTCAAGGATACTAGAGCTGAACAAGATGACCAAGATGAATGAGGTGATGATCAAGATTTATATTTTTACATCAAGTTGTTAGAAAGGGTCTTTGTACAATATATGTAGAGACTCTCTTCCTATCAGTACGAGGTCTTTTAGGTGATTGCAGAAGCAAAACCGTGTGGATTAGGATAAATGTGGACAATATTATACTGCATGGTGAAAAGTTGAACCTATGGACTTATTTCCCACACAAGGATGGTGATGGTGGAGTTTCTCAGTGTTTCTCTTCTCTCTCATCTTTTAGCAAAGTTGAACTCTTTGGCTTGCAATAAGTTGGATTTATTTGCCACGTCCACAGATTTAATTTGATACGAGACAGTAAAACATTTAGAACTTATTTTTCTGGTAAAAAACAAATATATTTCAAAGAATCATGACAGTTGATGGATGCCTGCTAAAATAGAATCTTCTTGCTAACTTACACACTTTGATGGTCTCTGCAGGTCAAAACACCGACCCTCTTTCTTTTAGGTGCTCAGGATCTCCGTGTTCCATTTTCTAATGGCTTGCAAGTAAGATATTTTATTCGACTTGGAAAATGAATTATCTTTATATTTCTGCAAGAGCTTGAATGATTACTAAGTTATTCTGCAAAGGAGCACCAGGTAAAACAACCAGAGAAACAATGGGAATTTCAATGGAAACTTGGTTTTCTTTTCTGCCCTCGGTTGTTGTTTTTGTTCCACTCCCGAAAACCTTGGAACATCCATAAATTATTTAGTGTAGACGATTAGCAGATGGTATGTTAAGATTTCATGAACGGTTTTTGTTTGAATTGTTGTCTAGTGCGCACGGGCACTAAAGGAGAAAGGAGTCGAAACCAAAGTCATTTTGTTTCCCAAGGATGTTCATGCAATTGAAAGGTAAAAATGTCCCTTCATACTTTCATGTTTTATCCTGACCACAACAACCGCAGCCTAGTTTCTGACTTCTGGTATATTTTCCATTTCTGCAGGCCACAGTCGGACTTTGAAAGCTTCCTCAATATTGGAGTGTGGTTCAAGAAGTATTGTAAATGAGCAGGCATTTGACTTGTCTCATGCGTTGCTGATCTGTGCGGGATGAATATATATATATATTTTCGTGATTGTTAAAGTTAATTGAAGATGAAATGGGAGTTAAACAAATCCTTCATCTTTATATGGGTAAAGCTGCTTCTCTCTGTAGCCCTAGTTTCATCCTGTAAAACGACCACTCTTAATAATGGCAACGATCTCTCTCTGTCAGTGTATCGTTGTTTATGTCCTGCTTGATCCTGTTTATTGCTTTGCAGAAATTCTGTAAAATCAGAATAATTACAACATCTTGAAATGATTGATTAAATAAATACAGTTTTCTACGGGACAGATCATTTTGCGGAATACTTATATGTTTTCTTTTATCTATTTACAGCTACAAAATATAGAATAACGGTTTCTTTTATTTACACCCTAATAAATTTTATTTACACCCTTATAAGATTGATATAGTATTAAACTCATCCGTTTCGTTCAGAAAGTATTAAAAATGTCTTTGATGTTAGTGACATGTTAGGGTTTCATTTCATTCAATTTTAAATCTAAAACTATTTTTCCCTCTTTCGTGACTAACCAACTTAAATCAATTTCTTAAATACTTCACTCAAATCAACCTTGAACTTACAATTATATGGTTCAAGTTACACGTTTACATAACAAAGATAAACAAAGATTTAATAATAAAAAACCGAATTAAAAATTGAATTTGGTTAAGATAAATGAATTTAATAAAATATATAAAAACAGTTTTTTTTTTTTAAGTCAAATGTTTTGAAATTTATATTATGAGATAAACAATGACTATAAAGGCTGAAAAATTATAATCAAACCTTAAAATGATTATAATTAAGACAAAATAAAAATAAGTGTATTTTAGTAATAAGTCTCTTTTTTCAAAATAATTAAAATAAAATTTATAAATGAATAATAAATTATGTGAAAACTATTATAATATTTTAATGATTGATAATGAGGAATAAAATAGAAATTGTTTCAAGTTGGTAAGTGATGAAGGGGTAAAACAGATTTTGAATTGAAAATTGGATGGAACCCTAACGTATTACTAACGGCATGAATGTTTTAATACTTCCCAAATGAATCATAGTACTAATCTTACAACCTTCTCTTACAATCTCAGTGTAACAATTGTCACGTTAATTCTCACCACAACTAAGACACTAAATGATTTTGACTAGATACGAATGATCGTTTTTTATGAACGAATGTTTTTTATAAAAGAACAATCATTCATTCACACGGAATAACCATTTCTTATGAAAGAACAATCATTCCTTCATAAGAAATTATCGTTCCTTATAAATAGAATAGTTATTTCTTATGAATGAACGATTATTCGTTCTTAAGGAATGATTATTTGTGTTTAGTCAAAGTTATTGGTTGATGTGTTAATTATCACGCTAAGATTGTAAGAAAAAAATATTAGGTTAAGTCGTAAGCTTAATATTTTTGTTACCTAAAGTAAAATAAAAGTCATATAGCTCTAATCAAAATATGGGCTGCCCGTTAAGCATGAACCATAACCGGCACCAAGCCTTTTCCTTAGAGCCGAAATGAGACTCGCAAGCTCATATCAGCATGAGGCGAGCTTCGAAATGAGTAAGAAGAGTCACCATAATTCATAATCATAATTCATAGTTCATAGTTCTGAAACCTTATATGTAGGAATCAATTTTATTATCCATTGTCGGAAACAAATAAAGAAAGAAAGATGTTCGTTAAGCCCCAGTTAGAAACCAGTTGTTTTCACATTTTGTGTTCCGCAAAAATCTCGCCACCCAACAATATTGGAGTTTCTGTTTCAGTTCCTTCTCTAGAAACAAGTAAAGAACCCATTAACAAACGCAGAGATAAAAATTTGCATCAAAGTTCCTATGTAGGAGTCAACAAGAAGTTCAACAGAATTCACAAGTATAACCGCTCTGATAAGCCAAATTCTGTGTTCCATGAAACCGACTTGGAAAAACGAAGTTTTGAGCGAAACCCAGTTAGAGAAGAGGGAGAAAACAGAAGGGTTGATGCTAGAATATTAAGTAAAAGAAATATTGGCAGTAGATTTGAAGATGGTAACGCGAATGGTAAAGTGCAGGCCAGATGTTCGATGAAATGGGCCTCTTATGGAGGTTGTATACCGTTAATGTTGCAGGCTTTGGAGACTGTTAAAGATTTGGACGAGGCTTTAAAGCCTTGGGAAGAGAAGATTAGTAGAAAAGAAAGAAGCATTATTTTGAAGGAGCAGTCAAGTTGGGAGAGAGCTTTAGAGATTTTTGAGTGGTTTAAGAGAAAGAAATGTTACGAGATGAATGTGATTCATTATAATATCATGCTCAGGATTTTAGGCAAAGCTCATAAGTGGAGTAATGTTGAGAGTTTGTTGGACGAGATGGATATTAAAGGGATTGGGCTGATTAATTCTACCTATGGTACTTTGATTGATGTTTATAGCAAAGGTGGGCTTAAGAAAGAGGCAGTCCGTTGGCTTGAAAGGATGAATGAACGAGGCATGGAGCCCGATGAGGTGACGATGGGGGCTGTTTTGCAAATGTATAAGAAGGCAGGGGAGTTCAAACAGGCGGAGGAGTTTTTCAAGAAGTGGTCGTCTAGAGAATCCATGAGGGGGGAAGTAACAGCTAAAACAATGATTGGTAGAGTAAAAAATGGATCACAAACACATGGTTGTTTGAGCTCATATACCTATAATACTTTGATTGATACATATGGGAAGGCAGGACAACTTAAAGAGGTGTCTGAAACTTTTGCACAGATGCTCAGAGAAGGGATTGTTCCGAACACTGTGACTTTCAATACTATGATACACATTTATGGCAACAATGACCAGCTAGGAGAAGTGACTTCATTGATGAAGAAGATGGAGGAACTTAAGCGTCCACCTGACACGAGAACATATAATATTCTCATTTTCCTCCATGCTAAACATGATGATATAAACAAGGCCGCTAGCTACTTTACAAAGATGAAGGAGGCTTGCCTTGAACCAGATATTGTGAGCTACCGCACCCTTTTGTATGCCTACTCAATAAGGCATATGGTTTCTGAAGCTGAAGAACTCATAGTGGAGATGGACAGAAAGGATCTTGAGATTGATGAATATACCCAATCTGCTTTGACCCGAATGTATATTGAAGCTGGGATGTTGGAGAAGTCATGGTTGTGGTTTAAAAGGTTTCATCTTGCAGGGAATATGAGCTCTGAGGGCTATTCTGCCAACATTGACGCATATGGGGAGCGAGGGCATATTTTGGAAGCTGAGAGAGCTTTCAGTTGTTGCCAAGAAGGGAAGAAGCTGACTGTTCTTGAGTTTAATGTGATGATAAAGGCATATGGAATGGGAAAGAATTATGATAAAGCGTGCCAGTTATTTGATAGCATGGAGATTCATGATGTAGCTCCTGACAAATGTAGCTATAATTCCCTTATACAAATTTTAGCTGGTGCTGACTTGCCACACATGGCAAAACCCTACCTGAGAAAGATGCAGGAGGCAGGACTTGTCAGTGATTGCATCCCATATTGTGCTGTGATCTCAAGCTTTGTGAAGTTAGGGCAGTTGGAAATGGCGGAGATACTATATAAGGAGATGATTCAATTTAATGTGGAGCCTGATGTTTTTGTCTTTGGTGTATTGATAAATGCTTTTGCAGATGCTGGAAGTGTTAAGGAAGCTATCAGTTATTTTGATGCGATGGGAAGTGCTGGATTGCCTGCAAATGCTGTCATATATAGCTCCTTGATTAAGCTTTATACAAAGTGGGTTTCTGAAGAAGCACAAGAAACTACCAAATGCTTAAATCACTGAAGGTGCATCCTGATATGTACACTTCAAATTGTATGATTGACCTCTACAGTGAGCGGTCTATGGTTACAAGCAAGAGAGCTTTTTGAACTTGAAGAAAACTGGGGATGCCAATGAGTTTACGTTTCAATGATGTTAATCATGTACAAGAGAAATGGTAGGTTTGAAGAGGCCACTCACATTGCTAAACAGATGAAAGAATCGGGACTTATAACTGCTTTATTGAGTTACAATAATGTGCTTGGGTTGTATGCATGGATGGGAGATTAGAGGGGGTGTGGAACTTTTAAGGAAATGGTGAATTCTGGCGTTCAACCTGATGATTATACATTCAAATCACTTGGAGCTGTTCTCATGAAATGTGGAGTTCAAAGCGAGCTGTTAACAAGCTGGAATTACAAGGAAGAAAGATGCTCAGAGTGGTTTACAGGCGTGGATGTCAACACTTTCATGTGTGGCAGGAGTAGATGATGATGAGATGGTGATGGTCCTTAGATTTTCTCTGCAACAAGTTTTTTGAGTATGAATTTCATTTGATGTGAAATTCGTAGTTGGATCAATGATGTTCCAACAATTAGCTGGTATAAAATTTTGATTGAAACGCCTTACAAACGTATGGTAGCAAAGCAATGAGTAATCTGCTCTATGATACTGTATTTAGTAGTTTGCAGATTATGTGTCCATTTGAAACAGTGGACTAGAGACCAAAGAAAGCTGATTGCCAGTTCTAGGCTCCTGTAAGGTTGTAGGATTCAAGCTTTGTCAAGTTATAGTATGCATCATGTAAATCAATTTATATCAACTCCTATCACATAAATAACACAGTATGCTAATTGTGTCCGTTCATTTTGGTTGTAATTTTCTCTTCTCAACAACCTCTGGAATGTGTCTTCGCTCAAGCAGAGACACCAAATACATGCTAGATAAGCAAACAGCGCATTGAACAGTTGCATTCGAAATTATTTCCACTGAACTTTGCTCAAAAAGAATTTTAGCAGTAATTTCCAGGTCCGAGCTAGGAAATAGGCACTTGTAAATAACATCAGATAGAGCACAGTCCCCTAAAGCTGCATAAAATCATTTCCTTCTCAGTTTCGCAGAAGGCAATTGGCTTGCTGAACTCTAGGAAATAGGATGTCAGTACCTTATTGTTCGTAGTTTTATATGACAGCAGCTGGATTGATATCACGTACGGGCTCTGGAAACACTAATCGATCAGGCAGTTCAGGTTGGATTTTTTAGTAAGATGGTCTGGTAAATCAATCGAATAGGTCAATTGGGTAGATGGTGGGAAATTAAAAAGCTCTAAATGGCATTCTTTTTTGTTTGAGTTTAGCATCCCTTGCTTAGTTCCCATATCCCGGTCAAGGCTATCAACCGATTCATTCTTCTTTCCTCCTTTAGCATCGCAATCCATGCGGTGGGAAGGCAGAAAGATTTCGGATTGTGAAAGCTTTCTGAATACAAATTGCAGATGAGCACCTTCATTCTTAAGTTAATCCGGGTTTAAATTAATTTTCTATATGCTTAGGCTGCTCCAACATCAATATTTCCATCTTCTGAAAGCGTCAGTATCTTATACAGTACAATTCTCGTCAAAAGGGACATGATATTGTTTGGTTCTGATTAGCAAGCCGAGAGAATTTCATGTTCAAACATGGAATACTGGTTTATTTCATTATGTAAAGGAACAGAGTTTAGTAATGGATACCACACCTGGTATCTTAGCAGGATTAAGTTTCTAGAATTGAAAACTGAGACTCAGAGCACAGAAGCAAATGATGAACAAAACAATCTGAAGCTTTTATTAAATTACACTAATAATCTAAAATTTTACTGATTTACAATAAACAAAACATAACCCTCAGAGAAGAAGATAATCTAAATCCATGTACAAGATCAGCGCCCTCATAAATCAGTACTCCTAATACCCATCCAATTAACTTAATTCATCATCTCTTCACATAACAATCACATCATTGCTATGCCATGAAAGAACAATATCCTGAAGTCCCACCTGCAAATCGCTCCAATGAACCTCCTCAAACTCCACCACACCGCCGCCACCACCACAGGCATCAACCACCTTCATTTCCACCAACAACATTTGTGGTGCAATTTCCAACACTTCAGCCACCAAAACCATCCTCCCAAGCTTCCCCAACCCTATGACACCGCCACCCTTCCCTCTCTCAACTCTGTAGCCCAACTTCTCGCCAACCTCTTTAACTTTCTCCACCACTCTCTCCGCCTTCTCCACCGTCGTAAACCTCTTCTCCTTCCTCTTCTTCGCCTCAAAAAGCCCAGATAAATCCAAACCAGACGACAGGGATATTATATCAAACGCATTCATTGACACCATGTCACGTTTACTATCTTTGTTATCAAACACTAACTCTGACTCGAACAAACTACTTTCTTGTTCACCCTTCAGCTGCAACGATTTCTTGAACCAAGAAAGATTCATTAACGCTTCAATACTCATTCTTGATTTGGGATTCGGATCAAGGAGCTGATATATAACCGATCTAGCTTGTCTTGAGATCCAAGATGGGAACTGATACTCTTTTCTTTGGATCTTCTTATACATGGTTAATAAATTACTATCATCAAACGGCAAATAACCAGCAAGCAATACATATAATATAACTCCGCAGGACCATGCATCGGCTTTGGCACCATCATAGCCACGCCGACCCATGACTTCAGGAGCCGTGTAAGCCGGGGTACCACAAGCCGTATGCAGCAGCCCGTTCTTCAGCTGCTCCGGTAAAGCCGATAAACCAAAGTCGGAAACTTTCAAGTCACCGTTTTGGTCAAGGAGGAGATTTTGCGGCTTCATATCACGGTGAGCAACCCCGTTTTGGTGGCAGAAATGGAGAGCCGACACAAGCTGCTGAAAGTAGCGGCGGGCGGCGGATTCGGTAAGCCGGCCACGGCGCAAAACCTTGTTGAAAAGCTCGCCACCGGAGGCGTACTCCATCACGAGGTAGATCTTGGTTTTGGTAGCCATGACTTCGTGGATTTTGAGAACATTAGGATGGTGCTGAAGACGGCGCATGGCGGCGACTTCACGGATGATTCGAGACTCCATGTTGGGATCAAGATTCGCATTCTTGCTAATGACTTTAATAGCCACGACGCTGTTGTCGACGATGGAACGCGCCTGGTGGACCTTGGCAAAGCTGCCACGGCCCAGAAGGCGTCCCAGTTGGTATCTGTTGAGGAGTGCTGGCGTGGTGGTGGTTGGGGTGGTTTTGGGCAGTGATTGTGGAGGCGGCGGGGGGCTGGGGCTGGGGCAGGTGTAGGGTTGAGCCCCGGGTGCCATGGCTCGTGTTGGTTACCCCGAGAGAGGGTGTAACCAGAGTTAAAGAGACGACACGAGATTAAGAGTTTGAGAAGTCATGGAGTTTGGCTTTATAAGTGGAGTTGGGGAAAACTGTGAGCAGCTTTTCTCGGCCTCTAGTTGTGTTCTGCCTGTCATTGTTCCAAACTAGGACTTCGTTTCTTTACCTTTTTGCCCTTCTCTACTCCTTTCTCTTGGCTCCCTCTCTTCTTCTCGTCAATTCCCTTTTTGATTTTAATACCTTTTAATTTTTTCAAAAAATAAAATAAAATAATAAATCATTAAGAGAATTTAAATGAGGTATTGTGGTTAAAATAATTAAATAAACACCATTAATGGGTTTTAAATATTGATAAGATTTAATTTCTTGGAAATATTTTAATTATATGATTGTTTTTACTAGTATGGTTCTTTCATTTGTAGAGTTATTAAAATTTTAAAATTAATTGTGATTATTGGACAACTATTCTGGCTTAATTAAAAATTATTTTAGAAATATTTTTTTTTAACATTGACTTTCCAAGTAGAATTAAACAATTAGAAAGCAACTAATTTGATTAAAAAAAATACCATTGAGTGACCGAACGGTTAACTAAAACTCTTGGGTATATTATTCAAGAAATTTTAAGTTTGACCCACTTGGACTGTTAATATGAGTGTTCACTAAGGAGATTTATCCGATTGTCAGGTTCTGAGAGATTAATTGAGATGCTTGTAATTTGGTTTAATAACGAAAAAAATATAAAAAAATTGATGAAAAACATGAATCTTAAATACAAAAACATGATAATTAAAGTATAACGTTGTTAACTCCTGCCCTAAGCAAAATACAATCAATATGGCCAACTGATAACTACTACGTACCCACAACGAAGGTTTAAAATTCAAAGTTAAAAAAAAAAATATAATTAATTATGCACAAATATGTCAAAAACATTAATATGAACGTACTGAATGGGGAATTTACAAATAGACGGTGGAGGAGAGGAGACAGATATTTTGTCAACATCTTTAGAATAGAATTAAAAGCAGCACTATGGAGGCCAGATTAAATTGATAATATTATAATATTATTTTTTAATTGAATAACGTCAAATATCAACTTGCAGCAGAAAGACATGAATAAGATATGGAAAACCTGTATCGTGATTATTATTTCTAGCTGGTGAAAACTACTGCCACTAACCATTAAGATTATAATGCCAATATATTTAAACCTTATTAATTGATTAAATGGTCGAAAGAGAAGTTAACGAATCTCGTTTATCACTTTTCCAGTTTTTTCTTCTACTTTCGTTGAAACTTCTAAAATAAACAAGTAGAATATGCAAAGCACCTAATCATCATCATTTTCTTCATCAACTATTTACTGGCTGTCATCAACTCAACTCAACAATTCAGTCAAAAAGGTTCCGGGCCTTTATATTCTGTGTATCTGAATAAGTTTATGTATGTTTTAACTAATATTTAAGGTTATTAAATATTTTATAAGTCGAATGTTAAGTGATCTTACAATAATTTAAACCTAAAAAATTAATAAAGAAAATAAACTTTTTTTATCACCAGATCAATTCTTTGGGGTTTAGGTTGTGGGCCCTTGATAAATAGAACCCACGGTTATAATTTTTAATTACCCAACTAATTAATTATTTTAATTAGTAAAATAAATGTTGTTAATTACTTCCAACAACCCAATTCGAAATTTCCCGAGAACTTTCACTCACGGGTGGTTGGTTTGCAGCTTGCAAATTGCGTTAGTAAAACACAGCTTGCAAATTGCATGTTCTTTCATGGTCAAAGTCAAACTTCACGAGCCAACACAACATAGTCCAAAGGAAGAAAGGAAAAAAAATCTCTCTCAACCCCAAAGGTTAGTCCGACGGTTAAGAAGGTTGGCTCATTTTATTAATTTTTTGAATTTAAATCTTGGGGTCACCAATCACAAATCTAATTTGTGGCTTACTTAGAATATAAGATTTATAAGATATTCAATAAGTCTTGGAGATTGAGGTGTGTATAAATTAACCCGAATATCTTAGTGATAAAAAAAAAAAAAAAAAATCTCTCCCAAGTCTCTTAAAAGACATGAAGGACATTTAAGTGATTTCCATAGACATACCCTGTTACCCAGACACCCCGGTGATAAGGAAAAAAACATCTCTCAAGTCTCACTTAAACGACATGAAGGACATTTAAGTAATTTGGATAGAAATACCCTGTTACGGCCTACGGGGGTTTGGCCCCTTGATTTATTGAGCGGGTGAGAGCGAGAGGACGTGACTCGTGAGTGGTGACCTACAATGTCGCATGTCCCATCCCAGCATAAGGTTGTTGCAATGCAGCATCAAAACCAGGGTGAGGTGAACGGTTGTCGAAGTGCCACGTGAGCAAGTGACCTATGTGGGGCCCTCAGAAACCAGAAATTATAACTGTGCAAGAAATCGCGTCACGCGCGTGCTCAATTACGTGCTTTAAAAAAAATTGAAAATTAATTGAGCAGGTAAGAGACTATAGTTGACTGACGGAGAGAAATGGGAAAAATAAAGTATATGCTAAAAAAATAAAGTATATGCTAAATAAAAGGATACCATAATAATAATTAATAAAGTCCAAAGATTCAGTTCGTTTGCCGTCTACCACTCAAACTCACTATCGTACATTTGTTTTGTAGCATATGTTAAACATGGGTTTGGCACCTTTGTCTACTGAAAAAATTACAATTTCATCCCTGATTGAGTAATTGTTTGGCCTAAACTGTTGGTCCCTGTTATTACCAAACTTCAATTCAGGAACCAAAACGTTACTCAAGTTAGTCAGACAGAACCTTATGCTAATGTTATTTAACAATAAATATAATATTAGACTGTTTTGTTTTTCAGGGATCTTTTCCCTGTTTCTTGTTTTCTTTATATTTCTTTTCTTCACTTTTATTTTTATTTCAAATAAATAAAAGAAAAAGAAAAAAAGGGTACGGCAGCGTTTTGTAGGCAAATAAAGCCAAAGCTAAACATCGCTTTTCATGAGAAAGAGCAGTGCGATTGGTGGGAGGCTCCTGCTCATCAGCTTTTGCAATACTCAAGAATCCTCCATAGTCACATCCTTTATAGTAATATAATTATAATGTCTCATAATTGGTGTCCCATTGCCTTTTAATTCTAAAATATTTATCGGGGTGTCTTTACCCATTTGTGGAGGGCCCATTTCAGCCACTTACTCGAGTGTTTTTGGATTTTCAAATAAAAATATTATATTAAAAGATATTTACCTCCAATAACGACACAACCCAGTGCTTGTACTTTTATTTTTTATTTTTTATTTTTTTGTCTTGAAGATTTTGTATATATTTGAGGTAACAGGGTAAGTCAATGGAGTTAAAAAGAGAAATTCTATGAGGGCAATTGTGGCACTATTGCAAATTAACTTAATCATGTTTGAATTAAGAATATTGATTCAATTATTGTCGATCAAAATGTCTGGATCCCACATTGATCACAAATATTTTTTCTAAAAAGCTTTTTGTGTATTTAGTAAGACCTTTCATCTGTGACTTTGTCAATGTTGTAGGGCTGATATGGTTGAATAAAACTTTCGAATTTGGACCTACTTGATAGTTATTATGCTTTCTGAATTTCAAGGTTTTCTCCATTTAGATTTTTCCTCTTATGTCCGTTCCCTCTTAAATTTCTTAGCTCAATGTTCACCTAAATGGAAAATCATGATAATGGTACAACTAATAATTACAAAAATTATTGTTTTGACTTATTATTTTATCATTCTTTTAGTAGTACAATTAGGATTTCAATTTATTATGACTATATGAAGGTTATTCTTATATAGAGTATCACTATAGAGAGATTATACTGTATTAGGATTTCAATTTATTATTTTAGTAATATTTGAATTTCTTATTTGTTTGTACTAATGTAGGAATATTATTTGAAATCATAAAAGAAAAGTGTCCTTGATGGAATTGTAAATACAGTTGCTGCATGGTCAGTTGATGTGAAGCCACAGACAATTCTAGTTCTTTTAAATACCGCAAAATTAAAATACTTGATGTCAATGAATTATAGCTGTTTCTATAGATAAATTCTTTATAATAAATAATTTGAATCATATAAAAAGTCATTTAGAGATGATTTTATATCTTACTCTCTAAACTATGTATTATGTCAATCATCTTGAGTAGATTCTTTTTTATATATATATATTTTTGGAAAAAGATTTACAATTAGAGGTAAAGGGATGATTGCTGTTCACTAGAGGCCAATCAGCTAGCGTGTGGCAAAGGGAAGAAGAAGAAGATATGTGGTTGGAAGTATTAGTTAGTTTTGGCGTAGTGAAAGGAGCTTAATTATATGATTAAGCAAGTGGGTATTAATTTTTATATTTGTATATTATTCAAGCAAGCATAGGTATTGTCACAACAGTTAGAATTATCAACTATTGGATGGCATTATCCATGTGGTCCAACGACAAGACAACATCTATTGACATTGTGCCTTGTTCAACCACTAAAAATTGAGGATTAGATTTTGCCAACAAATTAGAAAATATTAATTATGAAGCCAACAAATTTCTAAAAGTATAACTATGTGCAACAAACAAGACACACATTATTTACATCAATTAAAGTTGAACTGACGACCATCAGAAAGCAACTTCTCAACTTTGAATATCTCTCTCTATCTATGGCCTTCACCACAACCCTAATCCCCAATCTTAACCAAGAAAGTTAGGCTCTGTTTGGTTCACAATTTTGTTTTTTTGAGAAAAGTTAAAAAAAAGTTGAATTGGCGGGTATTACGATGTAGGATTTACAAATTGATAAAATCCCTCCTATGTTTGTTTTTTATAAAACACCCCTTAAATAAATATAAAAGTTAACAAAAACACCCTCAATCCACCCTCAAATACGGACAGTCGGCCACCACCGCCGGAGGGTGGCCGGAGTCGCCGTAACAAAAACATAAAAATATTTAGGGGTATTTAATTGAATTAACAAATTTAGGGGTTTAAAAAATGTTGAATAAAGTTGAATAATATTGTGAGTTTTTTGGTATTTTACTGTTTAACTTTTTTGGGAATACTAAAAGTAGTATTCCCAAATCCAACCAAACGAAGCCTTAGATATTTTAGGAAATGGTGAGATTGGCTTAATCAAGATTGTCTAGTTTCTATTTTGAGGCTTTGACCCAATAATTCAATCAATATAACTGGCTCTTTCTTTGCATGAGATGATACAACACTTGCTTTAAGGCCACTCATCCATAATTACTAAGCCCTTGTTTTTATCTATTCCGAATTATTATTTTATTCAAACTCAAGTAAGTTTTTTTTTTGTCTAAAATAAAAAGAGGGCGAGACTTGTTTTTAGATATCCAACTCTATTAAACAAAAAACATTTTTCTTTCTCTCCTTCTAATATGAAAATTATCCACCCAAGACCACCATCGCCTGCCAGTCGACTCGATCGGAACGGTGCACGACCAATCAGATTTGGTCAGTCATGCATCGATTTGCTGTTAACAATAGTCGATATATGGTCGTAGATCTAGCCAGAAACAATCATATTGGCGTACGATCGGCCAGATCCAACCGATCGTGCACCGTTTCGGTGATTGTTGGTTGCTGTCCGATAGCCACTGTCCTCTTAGGTGGTTGGGGTGCTTAGTTAATTTTAATATTTTATTGACCAAATTAATAAATTTAGATGGTTAAAAAATAATTTGAATATTTTTAGAAAATATATGTGCCTTCAAACTCACTAATGCCTGAAATTATCTTTTGCCTCAACCACTTTGTCCCAATGACAATGAGACGAACAACACCATCTTTCTCATCTTTGAATGTTTGTCATTCAAAAACACTGCACATACTTGTAGTCAGGCATTTGAGAGATACATATTTTCGATTGGTCCACACCTCAAGTAACCTCCATGTTTCAGAACCTTGTGCACAATGCCATGCAAATCTCTCCCTATAAATTTTGAAGGAGATGCATTGATACAAACAAAACCAAGACCTACCCGGTGTTCTGTCTAACTCTTCCCTGCCCATGCTCTCCAATGTCGTCACTGCAAGATAGTACCAGGTCTTTTGTGGCCTTTTTGCAAGAAAATCTTCCAATAGACTTTTGGAGCATCAGTCCCTTTGCGTACAGATTTTCAGCTGGGATCACAACATTCCATTGCAATTTGACTTTGAGAAACATTTTGCTCCACCAAAAATCAACTATAACCTAATCATGCTACTGAAATTTTCATAGAAACTGTTCCAAATAGGCTATATATAAAAATAAGATTTTTTCTTCTGAGTTTGATGATGGGTGGGTGGGGTATATCATCAAACAAATATGATCAAATCTCTTGAAATAGGGATATCAAAGGATCAGGAAAGGGCGTTCAAAACCATCTCAAGAGACAACAGCTTCCACACTCCCCTCTCATGTTGAGAAAAAACAAAAAAAAATGCCAGAAGCAACCATTTGTTTCACTATTTTTACACTATCATATTCCATTTCCTATCTAAAAAAACCAAAAATACATATGTTTTTATTCTCAAAATCCAATCATATTTCATTCACTCAAAACATTAACAATTATATTTCTAGTAAAAATAACTCAACTCAAACTTTATTTTATTTTAAAAAAAAAAACTATTATCAAAACCATCGGAATAGTTCAGAAATATTATGCCGAAAAGCCATTATGGCATCCCACCACAGACATTGAAAACTTCTCAAGGTCAAAAGAAGGATCATCTTCATCCACAACTAGAATCTAACACACAAATTAGTACTTATAAAACCGTAATTCCACCAAAAACAATAACCTGTACAAATTCCACATTCTACATTGTCATCTTGTACCCGATAAACCCATTCTCAAAAAATTAAAAATCTTTAAACTAACCCAGAAAGACCCTAATCAAAACCACAAACCCCAGAAGAAAGAAACTCAGCTTCATTTTTTAGTGACTAAACTCTAGCAAAATCAACGTACTACCCGGAAATGAAATGACTTTTCAAATGCTAATTGTCCAAAAGAAACCGTCGAAAACACCCCATTTCAGTCCATAATCAAAAGACTTAATAATTAAAATCACAAGACAACAATTAGAATAATAGAAAAATAAAGAAGGTAATCTTTTGTTGTCAAAACCTCACTCTATAGAAAGAATGGTGAATCCTTGTCGTTTCAGCTTCAACTCTCTCTAGGTTGGTGGGACTTCTCAGTTCTCACTGAGTGACTTTTGAAGTGATGATCTGACTCGCGACTCCCCGGGCTTTCTTGTGCTTGTGTGGGCTCTTATTGTTAACGAATCCTAATTTGGGCTATAAACCCATTGCTGATAGAGCGACGCCCGGCTCGATCCAGCCCACCGCCATACACATTCCCAAATTTCCATCTCTTGCTGTCACTTGTCAGCAGTCAGCTGCAGCAATAAAACGGTTGCAACTAACTTAATAGATTTCTTTTTTTCGGTTTCTAGAAAAATTTGCATCTTTCAATTTTCTCGAGAAAAAAAAAATTAAAGGATTAAAATGTCATCTCTGGGAACATCGAAAGGGATTTTGGAGATCGCTAAGTTCGGTCTGTACGTCAGCGTTCCAATCTTTCTTATGTACACTTTCGCCAACAACACCAAGAATATCCAGAAAGTTATGGGCAATGTAACTCTCTCTCTTTATCTATCTTTCTGTACGTGAATTTAAGAAAGTTCATTCATCATGGTTTTGATCAATTATAATTATTTGAAATATAAAGCTCTGACTAGCTATCTGAGTTTGTAAAATTTTTCATCTGTTTAATGTTCGATATTAAATGGGTGTTGTTATATTCTTTGTCGAGTAGGGGTTTTAGAATGTTGTAAAATGAGGTACAAGCAAGCCCAGAAAAGTAACTTTATAATCAAATGCGGCTTAAATGTTGATGATGTTGAAATCTGCCGTTTGATGATGCGAGGAAAATGTTTGATAAAATGCTCCTGAGAGAGTTGGTTTTATGGAGTTTGATTATTATGGACTGTGTTGATGAAGGGTTGAAGATGTTTGGTTTGATTTGTTCTTGAGGGTGTTAAATTGGATTTTGCGATAATGCTTTTCTGGCAGAGGGTTGTGGTGAATTATGTTTTCATGACTTATTGAGTTGAAAAATTACTGCAAAGATTTGATTTCTTCGCTTTACATTTCATTGGGAGGGTAATGGTGTTATAGTAATTTTCTCAAAGATCAGGGTATCTTCACTGGAATTTCTGGCTATCATCTAGATGTCACCATATGGCTTTACTTTGAGATGGAAAATAATAGTTTATTCAAATTTTGAACCTCAAAGGGCTTATTACTCCTTTTGTTTAGAAAGACTATCAAATGGTTTTCTTGTCAAGGTGTCCCTACTTTAATATGTGTTGTTTACCATTTTTGTTTTAACCAGAGTGCTAATGGTGAAGAAATTACCATCTAGATGGACACTGCCTTTTGCGTACTAAATGACTTCTTATTTGCTCAACCTGGTGTTTGTTTAAGTTCTTGGTCAAATGTTAAATCATGCATATGAATCACTAAATTAGGTTTTGCTGGTTCACTTCTCCAAATCATTAAACTATGTCTTCCAGAAAGGCATGTTCCTTCCATCAACCTTAACAACTATCTCAGAGTTGTTCTTGTTCATGGCCACATCATTGTGTGAAAATGTTGTTGTTTTTTTTTTTTTTTTTTTTTTTTTAAGTATTCAATTACGGTTTGGGTTGGGATGGCATTGATCTAGTAGGGCGTGTTATCATAAAAAATTCTACCATTTCTCCTATTATCCAAGCAAATTTCTTGATCATATGACTTGTTCTCTTGGCAATAATTGTCAAAATATGATGGTTTACTGAAAAGCTTATCTTATTTAGGATGCTGTCTTTTTTATTCATACTGTGTTGCTATATTAGACAGTAAGTAATCCATTTTAAATTGGTGCTACCAAATTACTTGTTGTTGATGATATGTGATTGAATGCATTGTTGTTTGTTTGCATTGGATGAGCATATCATTAATGCTTCATAAAAGAATATTAGTGTGCAGCATATGATGCGACGGAATCTTAGCATACCACTGCCATGAATATGTTCATATGTTATAGTAGGTTATTCTTAATACAATATTTTTCAGAAGTTTTAGAATCTCCAAAGCATCCAACTTCTTTCTCATGGATGAGGATTTTTCTATGTTTAAAAATTACTTCTGAAGGCCTGGAGACCTGGAGATTTTTTCTGGCATTTACTTTGCTGATCCAGATTTTAGTTTTTTTGTTTTAATTCTAAACCACCTGTGCTTCTTTTGATGTGAAGCGGTCTTACGTAGTCTATCCCCCGGAGGGACCAAGGCCTCCATCACCAGAGGAACTGAGGGAGATGGCTCGAGAACTAGCCCGCAAGAACAACATTCGTTAAATACTCCTTAGTGTTGTAAGTTACCGATGTATTTTTCAGTTGTATTTTCTGGTACTTCTGAAGAATCAATATGTATGTAATATGTGATAAGCATCGTGGATTTTATTTCAGAATTGAAATAAATGTCTTTTCTGGGTAATGATAAGAGTTTTATAATCATTAATCACATGGGAGATGCATACTCTTTTATGGTTAGGATGTCAACTTTAGCAATTAAATTTATGTATGGTTGTCAGAAAAAAGATCTTTGTCAAAATTTTGTCATGCGTTTCTCTTTGTGAAATATCTTGCCTTGTTCGTTGATACTCGGGTAAAAAACCAGCTAAACTACCAGCCATTTGACTCTGCTCTTTAGATTTTGCCTTGTGTTGACTATTTAAAAACCAGCCATTCAGGAAGTTGTTCTTGGAAGTTGGAACTGAAGAACCAGATTTTTGGAGAACTGGCGTATATTGTTCAACTGGAGATATGTGATACACTTTGCACCAGAGTGAACCTGTAATGGTTTAATCAGTGATTGATATCGACATATAAGTTTATGGTCTTGTTTAATGGTTGAGTTGGTCTTTTTAGAATAGAAATCAATATGTTATCTCTTTTTCTTAGTTGTGATTTTGGGTATACCTTATTTTAAGTGCACATAAGGGTCCTAATTGACCCTTGGATCAAGATAGGAATCCTTTGACAAAGATTAGATAAGGTTAAGGCAGTTCAAACTTCAAATCATCAATGATCTACCACAGGACAGGAATGGAATAAACTTATTTTTAAAGAATGCTTTTGTTAAGAACTTACCTGAAAGAATTTTCAAACTCCCTTTATTAGAAAAAAACGGAGAGATATAAAAGAAGAATAATTTTATACTTACAACTGAGTTATACAATCAGATAAAAATCATAGGATATGGTAGTAATTTTACATGAATTTTGTAAAATTTTTGTCTAGTTGTATACCTCAGTTGTAAGCATAGCATTATTCGAAGAAAGAATGTCTTGGACAGGACTTGTCCTTTCATTTTAGCTATTACTCCTGTGGGTCAACATTCAGTCTATACCAAACAAGTGCAAAAAATTGGGTGGTTATATTATTTGGCATTTTTGTTGACAATAGAGGTAGAACAAATGAGCCAGGTTAGACGGGTCAATCCTAACCCAATCAGCATTAAGGAGGGTTCAACCCGCATGCACCCTGTCGGGCGGGCCGAGTTTTTATATGGCGACTCGGTGGGTTGTTTTTTTTTTTTTTTCAACCCGTTAGGTTGACCTTCGGATACCTTTTTTACCCTTGAAATATAACTGTTTTATAGCAGTTGGAGAGGTCTTTTTTATCATTTTCTTTTCCCATTTTTTTTTTTATAAATAGGCCATAAACTCTCATATTTTCTTACATCCCAAATTCTCTCATTTTCTCTAATCTCTATTAAAATCTCTCAATTATTCTCTTTGTTGTAATTTGCTCTCATTTTAAGTTTTTATTAGTTTTTGCAATTTTCAGTTCATATTTCCAAATTCCAATTCTCTTTCTTTAATTTTTTATTTTTTCTCTATCAAATTTTTTATTTATTTATTTATTTTTAACTATAATGGATAGATATTTCCATCCCATCAATTTTGATGATGAAAGAAACTACTATCGTAGTCCCTATGAATTTACTAACATAAATGCAGTAGATTCAAATAGTCTCGCTTTTCGAGTCTCAGAATCCGATACACCTCATAATATTCCCCCGATTCCTCCCCATGTTGCTACAGCTCTCAGTGGTTCTAGAAGTCGTCCTTGTCCAACTTTATCTCAAGCAGAAGCGGGTTCATCAACTGCTGTCGAAACTGATGACAGGCACACATCAGACATTTGGGTGCATTTTGATAAGTTTTACGAGATAGAAAATGGAGTTCGAGTGAAGAAAGCAAGATGTAAGTATTGTAGAAATATTTATAAAGCTGATCAGGTAATGGTACTAGTACTTTAAAAAGGCATGTTAATAAACATATTACTCAATATGGAAATAGAGAAACCAAGTAAACTCAAATAACTAATATGGGTACTACTTGACATTATAATTTGATGTATATAAGGAACAATTAGCTTTATATATTGCTGCAACTGATCAACCTATTAACAATAAATATTTTGAAAGATTTATTAACAATTCATTTTTTTAAGGATTTAAAAGTTATTCTAAAACTGCAACTAGAAATGATTTAATAAAATTGTTTGGGAAAATGAAATTAGAATTAAAAAATAAAATACATAGTTGTCATGTTAGTGTGACTCTAATCGCCGATATTTGGAGTGGTAGAGCTAAACAAGATTATATTTCTGTGACTAGTCATTATTTTGATAACGAATGTAATTTAAATAAATTTTTATTAAGATTTAGATTAATGGATGTGGATCATAGTGGTCAACAAATTTATAATAAAATTGTTGAAGTTTTAGAAGATTATGATGTTATTAATAAAGTGATAAGTTTAACTTTAGATAATGCAAGTGCTAATAGTACAGCTATAGATTTTTTAAAAATTAATTATCATTTTTATAATAATTTAAAGTTTTTTCACCAACGCTGTGCATGTCACATTATTAATTTAATTGTGAAAAGTGGTATAAAAACAATTAAAGATAATATTGATAGAATTATAGATTCTTTAGCTTGGATTACTAGTAGTAATAAAAGAAATGCTCAATTCTAAGATGCTAGTATAAAATCAAATATGTCTCCTAAAATTTTTGCATTAGACATGCTTGTTAGATGGAATAGTACTTATTTAATGCTTGATTCATGTTTACCTTATGCAAATTTAATTAGTTATTTTGTTGCAAATAATAGAAATCCTCATTATTTGGTAGAAAATGATTGGCATATAGCTAAAAAATTTCATTCTTTTCTTAAAATTTTTTACCAATCCACTTTACAACTTTCTGGTGTGTATTATCCTACTAGTCCATTGGTAATACATACAATTATAAAAATTTCAGATTTATTTAGAAAAAAATAGAAACAATGAAATTTTAGGGGACCAATAAAGGTAATGATTTTTTTTTTTAAAAAAAATATTGGAAACCCATTCATTTTCTTTATTGTTTAAGTGCTATATTTGATCCTAGAATTAAAGTAGCAGATTTAGAAAATGGTTTAGACACAATAACTGAAAATTTACAAAACGAAGTATATGTCAATCAACTAGGAGAGGTAAGAGAGTGTCTTGCAGAGGTATATTTGTAATACGAAAACAGGTATGAGAACCAGCAAAAAGTCGAAATACCTAGGGAAGTTGTATCAGAAGAAACAAATGAAGACTTTGACTCCTGGAGTGCACTTAATAGGCCGAAGAGGACACGAACCCGAAACACAACCTCCTTTTCAGAAGCACCAACAACGAATGTACTGTCCTCCATGTAGTCACAGAGTAATGAGCTTCAACAATATTTAGGAACCCCCGAAGTGTTACTAGTAGGGGTGTTCAAAAAAATGCAAAAACCGAACCGAACCGAAAAACCGGTTAATCGAAAAAACGGTTCGGTTACGGTTCAAAAAATTCAAAAAACCGAATATTCGGTTCGGGAGAAATTAGAAACGGTTAACCGAAAACCGGTTTTCTAAACCGGTTTTTCAAATATATATATATTAAATAAATAAGTAATAACCTAAACTAAAATAAATCCCTAATTCACTCAATCTAAAATCCCAACCCAATTTTTTTTTCTTAGTTCCCAATTTATTGTCTAGATTTACAATTTAATTTAGGACAAAATTAAAAAAAAAAAAAAGTTTTATAAAAACAAAAAAAGGGAAAACCGGTTAACCGCTTTTTTTAAAACGGTTAACCGGTTTGGTTTCGGTTCGGGAATTTTCCCGAATCGAAAATCCGGTTCGGTTTAGAAAAGCGGTTAACCGGTTCGGTTAATTGCTTTTGAACACCCCTAGTTACTAGTAGATCCACAACAAAGAGCCAACTTTGATGTCTTAGAATATTGGAAAACCAGAAAATAGGTATGGAAAATAGCAAAGAGTCGAAATACCTAGGAAAGTTGCATCAGAATAAACAATTGAAGACTTCGACTCTTGGAGTGCACTTAATAGGTCGAAGAGGACACGAACCCGAAGCACAACTTCCTCTTCAGAAGCACCAACAACGAATGTACTGTCCTCCATGCAGTCACAGAGTAATGAGCTTCAACAATATTTGGGAACCCCCGAAATGTTACCAGCAGATCCACAACAAAGAGCTAACTTTGATGTCTTAGAATATTGGAAAACCAGAAAATGTATTTTTCCAATATTATCAAGACTTGCCTTGGATGTTTTCGCTGTTTTTGTTTCAACCGTCTCATCTGAATAAACATTTAGTACAAGTGGAAGAATTTTAAATGAAAGGAGGACTAACTTTCACAAAAAAATGATTGAAGTCCTCACATGTTTTCGAGATTGGGAACGGTCGTGCCATGAAGATCAATACGAGGTTGTCGACAATACTTTAATAAAATCATTTCAATTTTGTAATATAGATGATACGGATGAGGGAGGTCCTAGTCAATCCCCAAATTAGTTGTTTTGTAAATTGTAACTTGTAAATTAATTGTCAATTATTGCACTCTTTTTTCCTTACCAAGTTTTTGTCCTATTGGGTTTTTCTTGGTAAGGTTTTTAACGAGACAATAATTATTGTAATTTCTTATTTTATTTTTTGATAAATGAATAAATCTAATTTTTCTTATATTACAATTTTATTGTATTAAAATTGAATTAATATTTGGAATGTTAACCAAAAAAAAAATTAATTTAATTGAATTATTGATAGTTAAATTTAACTAAAAACAATTACACAAAAGAAAAAATTAAAAAAAAAAAATTTGTGGGCTAACCCAACCTGGCCCGCATCGTAACCCACCGAGTTAGGGTTGCGGGCCGAACTGGGCCAGCCTTTTTGGCCAAGAGACGGGCCAAACCCAGCCCCGCCATTGTCGACGGGCTGGGTTAGACCCGACCCGTCAACCCCCATAACCCGCCGCTGGTCGTCAGGCGGTCATTTTCCACCATTAGTTGACAATTGAATAATTTATGGTGCCCATTTTATTTATAACAAACTGATAGAGAAATTTGATTACTTCTCTGATTGGTAAATTGAATGATCGAAT